ACAAATTCCACTTTATATAAACCGAGATATTAAATATAATAAAGTCCGAAATTGGCTTTAGTTCCGAATATTCTAACTTATTGTTTTTATTTGGATATAATAGCAGATATAGCTTTCTTAGAAGAAGATATAAAAGTATAATATAGAAACTGGCTTTTTAGAAAAAGATATAATAGTAGATATAGCTTCCCGGAAAAGGATATAAAGATATAGTACAAGAATTAGCTACTTAATAAAAGAGGTATAGTAGTAGAATTAGTAGTTTAGAAGAGTATAAAAAATATAATATAAGAAATAACTTCTTGGAAAAAAGATATAGTAGTAGATATAGTTCTCTAGAAAAGAATATAAAAGTATAAAATAAGAACTAATTACTTAATAAAAGAGGTATAGTAGTAGATATAGCTTTCCGGAAGAGAATCTAAAGATATAATACAAGAAATGGCTTCTTAGAAAAAAGATATAATAGTTAATATAGCTCCCCTAGAAAAGGATATAAAAGTATAGTACAAAAACTGGCTGCTTTAATTCTGACTACTATTACCGGGATTTTACTAATAGATAGTAATATAGTAGTAAGATATTATATTACTTTTTATAGCTCTTCTCTAGTACTTCTAAAATTATATTATAAGCTTGGAAATATTATATTTCCTATTCTTTTCTTATTTATATTATATAAGTAATATATCTATTTTATAAAAGTATCTCAGATAGTAATTTTTATTTCTAGCTATAATAATTATAAATTCTCTATATTAAATAGAATAGCTATAAATAAGGTAATAATTTAAGATAAAAAGTAAGAAAATAGTAAAGGAAAGAAATATATAGTAATAGAGAAGAAAAGAGGGGCTTTTTTATAAAGCCTATAAAATAATAGAGTTCTATAATTATTAGGTTACTATTACTTTTTATAATCCTAACTTAGGAGAATATTATATATTTAAGTTAGTAGACTTACTAATATAGCTACTATTATTCGAGTAAATTATAGGTTACTAGATATTATTATATATATTAAAATATAGCTAATCCGGTAGTAGATAAAGAGTAATAAGACCCTATAGCTTAGGCTTCCTAACTATTATAAATAGTAGAATATCTAATATAAAGTCTTATTAGGAGAAAATAATAAGAACTCAGTAACTAGCTTGGCTACCTATACTAATATATCTCTTCTATTAGTATTACCTATATTCTATAAACTTCTATTAATATCCAGAAATAAATTAGTAAATAATACTAGAAAGGCAGTATAAGAGTTATATTTTCCGTTTATTATACCTGTATTATATAGCCTCTTTAGCCTATTTTATTAGTGGATTTAAATATAGAAGAAAAGAATAATATTACCTAGAAGTTGGGTTTAGGATAGGTATTTATTAAGATAAGGATATTTATTAAGGCTTCTCTATATTAATAGCCTCTCAGTACTATTTTAGGATTATAAAAGAAATAAAATAGTATTTATTTAAGTATATAAAAGAGAAACTTTATAACAGGCAGTATTTTATATTATGTTTTATAAAATAGATTATATAGAAGTATATTTATATAATAGAAATAATATATTATCCAAAAGGCAAACTATAAGTAATTAACTATTTAGTAAGATCCTAAAGACTATATTAGCAGAATAGTAACTATTATACCTGGTTCTAGTAAATAAGCTTGAAGCTAGGCAGAGGGACTAAGTAGTATACTTGAATCGGTACTTTTTAGGTAAGAGAAATATGTAGTAATATATCTGTTCTGGGATTAGAAAGCTGGTTTATTAAGATTAAGAATCATTTTTCTTTATAGCTTTCTATAGTATCTTGAATATATTTGGATTAGCTATAGACTTTGGTAATAATTAATTAATAGATATTACAGGAGAATATATTACTACTATTTATACCTATTAACTACTAGTAATATCTATAGTAGAAAGTATAGGCAAGAGACTAATCTCAAATTCCAGTTCCAGTTTCTAATTACTAATTTCCAGTTTTTAATATATACTTGCCCTACTAAAGATAGACGTTAGTATTAGCCCTAACTTACAAATTATAATTTTAACGGCTGGCCTGGTTAGTCTTTCCTTACGATTTGCATAGCTGTATATTATTTAGGTTTTTCCTATATTACGTAAGTGAATTTGACTCCCTGCCTGATATTTACCCTCCCCCTTCTCAAGGGGGAAGAATATTCTAAGTTAAGTTAGTAATCTGGATTTGAATTGCCTTTATCTATTATTATAAAACTAAATATATAATATCCATTCCTGTATAGCAGAAAACCCTATATACCGGAAAAAATAATAGGTACTTTGATTTCAAGCATCTTAAAATCTGTACATACTTCAGTATCTCCTATAATTTCTTATAAGTTATATTCCGTAGCCACTCCCGGATACCCTGAATTCTTCCCACTAGAAAATCACATTCGTATCATTGCCCTCACGCCTGATTTGCAAAGAGTCTCCTTTTATAGCATAACAGACTTCCTCTACCGCAGCTCCACCACCGAGCTTATACCATCCCGAATACTTATATAGGAGTCTTATCCGAGCTCTGAGACCTCATACTATACAGGAAATCGTTATCAGCCTTGTGGCTGCTGTGGCGTGTAAATTTAGGTAAGGTTGCCACGCGGATCAGTACCTCGAGTGGAAGCGACTAACGATTTTGGGTTAGAGCGAAACGACCCCGCACCTGCTATCCCTTCGTCTGTCGGAAACTGTCCAGCGCTAGCAGGGGGGGGGTGTGGCTGCACGCAAGCCTCACATCGCTTTGTTACGCTTCAGGAGGCTTGCGTGCAGCCACACCCCCCCTGCTAGCGCTGGACAGTTTCCGACAGACGAAGGGATAATACTTAGGTAATTACGACGTAACTTAATTTCACTTATGTAATTATTTTGCCAAGCTTGTGGCTGTTGCTCGTCCCACGTGATAACGCTTTATAGGTTAGCGTGGGAGACTGCGATAATCCAACGGGGTTCCCGCATCAATAATGCAATATAACAACGAAGTTCATCACCGACCGAGCAATGAATAATGAGAAGGGAGGCCTGCGACGATTCAGCACTTCCTCGCAGTGCAGGCTGGAAACCAAGGGCTTTCATGCTCTTGGGCTAAGACTGAATCACGACCTTCGACGCCGAGACCCCGACGACGCCATTGCGATACCAGCGATCGAGATCCGAGAAAAAATTTTCACGACACACAACCCTCTACTTTCGACCTCCTCTTGTATATCGTACCTCGTTCAAATACATACCCACGACTAGAGGAAAGGGCCGGGAGAAAATATAAAGGGGAAAAAGGCGGGTTATGGTTGTGGTTTATGAGAAGGCCAGGGAGGATTTCGATCAGACAAGAAAGGGAAAGCCGTGAACAGACTACCGGGAATACTAGTTGATATCTGGACGTACAACTATTTATACGCAAGAGGGGGCCTGGGATGGGAGGACCTGAGGCTACTACTATCTGTCTAGAAAGCCTTTTGCGCGAAGATATACGCATGAGATAGAGGGACCTGGGGTATTTGTTTGTTTCTTTCTGAGGCAAGGAGCCGGATACCTGTCTAGGGAAGACTATTGATATGTGAAGGAATATGATATGGAAGAGGAGGGGAGTTTTGCTAGTTTCTCCTCTTAAAAAGCTGACCTGCTTTATATTGGCCGTCTGGTCTGTATAGGCTGTGCTACATAGTTTAAAACTAATAAAGCACGTTAAAAGGAAAAAAAGAAAAAAAGAAAAAAATTTATGAGAAGGGATTCTCAGCTTTCGACATCTACTATCCCTGCATCTGCGGATAGGACACCGCTAGAAAGGCAGATCCTATTTACCTTTGACACCTCCAGCAACCAATGCATGGCCCATCCAACGCGAAAGCCAGCTCGCTGATCTACGCTTCAATTTTACTCATGGCCACCCTGAGGACGTAGCCTCGCTCCTTAGGACAATCCGCCGCAAACAACGCAGACTGTATCCGATATGGGGAAGGGTGAGGGACTGAATGCTCGTCCTCAGTGGGCGCGAAGGCTACTCGCTGATAAATGGCAGAAGATGATTCATTACTGCCTCTATTCCATTGCGCGCGAGTAGGACGAAGACTAACTCTAATGTACAGCCACTAGTTGCGAGCCCTGCGCGAGCCTGCCTTAAGAAACCTATTCGAACTAGAAGAACAGAGCAATAACTTTCCCGTTCCTCCTATAGCAATCTGATTCTCCACAACCTGTAGTTAGTACATCCGCGCAACGGGTGCCCTCCATGGCACTGGCGCATCGATTATCAGCGCCACTTCTGGCTCTGGCTCATCTGCCTCTGGCGCAGCACTCTTACGCTTCCGACCGCGTTTTGCCCTGCCCTCGATGACCTTGTTCGCAGCACGCGCCACTTCTTGCTCTGGCTCTGGCTCTGGCTCATCTGCCTCTAGCGCAGCACTCTTACGCTTCCGACCACGTTCCCCTGGCCCTTGATGACCTCCTTCGCAGCACGCGCTGTTCGTGCCACCTCGATGTCCTCAAAGGGTAGTCAGAGGGACTCCACTGCGTTTTGATCTGGCATCGTACGTTCGAGGCTCTCCCGGCAGGGAGGCCTCTGCAAGGGCTTTACCGGCGCGGTCGCTCATAAAGGATTACTTCCGTACCTTACAGTCGTTGTTCAGAAAAATAATGGAATTGGAGAATTATTTGCGGACCAGTCTCCCTTGATTCCAATTTCCGCAATTTCCGGTATCGATCTAGACATCGCTACTAGATTAATGTAAGTCGGGATGGCTGAGTCTAGGTCTTGTAAGTCTAGATCTTGTAAGTCGACGTTAGCTGGAAGTACTTTGGCGAGAGTGAATTCCGTTGCGTCGAGAAGTTGTGGGAATGGTTCGTCCATTTGGTCGCCTACAGACTCGGCCGCGCGATCGTGGTTGCCAGAATCGCAAAACACGTAAAATTCACCTCGCTTTCCTGAGCTCTGGACTTCTAATATTAGGAGCAAGTTTGTATCATCCCATTCGCTATCTTTGGCATCGCTAAGACATATATTCCCTATCAGTGTTAGTTACAGTCGCATATTCACTTAGTCTGTAAACACATATAGATCAGCTTACCAAGTGTAACAAACAGAAAAACCCTTTTACTGTGATCCTCCTCACCTAGCGGTTTATAACGGATTGCTAAAAGGCTTCGTTGATATACAGACGTGATACCGTAACTTTTACAAGTTGCAATATCTGCCTTTGGAGGATTCAAGGCTCGGCCGTTGAGTCGCAGTTTCAGAACAGTGTCTTTGTAGCGTCCTACATACAGGTTTGGCTCGATCGAGATATGTCGACTCCAAAGTCGTTCATTCACCGTGCCTAAGTCTTCGTTGTTCTGTATCCAATCTACTTTCCGAAGCAAACGTACAAATACTGTATTTATAACGCTTTTGGCCTGGATTAGGCGGGGTTCTGGATTCTCTCGCATCCATGTAACGAATTTATGTGCGTTTATATGATCGTGGTGTTCCTCCAAATCGTCTAACCATTTCATGCGCTCATCAAAATCGGTAGATATAGTATTCCACTCTTCCCGTAACCTCTCGTAGTCATCCCGTAAACTCTCGTAGTCAGGTAGTGTCGAGGTGTCTGTAAGCCCAGGGTGTTTGGGTTGAGAAAGACCAAACAAGTGCAGGCCCCAATCAGGAGGAGTAGAAGGAATATCGTCGAAAAGTGCGGCATAAGGACTTTTCTGGTTCGGAGAAGGTGAAGCATGAGAGGAAGGAAGCGGGTCGTCTGGTGACGTATAATTGCGATCAGCCTGTTGTTCTACGGCCGGAGCAGCCATTGCCAGAAGTACTTCGGTCTTTAATAGATGGGGAGAGTGGCTCCAGGGCGCGAGATTTCCTGTTGGTGCGTGAAAAGATAACTGATGCCACAAATTTGTATGTTAAGAGGTAGACGCTGTCGGAACTCTGGAAATGATTGCATAGGGCTTGGCGGGACTGTCCCACGTGGCCGGTGCGCTGGAAGCGCATGGAAAGATTCAGCCTTGTTACGAGACACGAATGCTCACAATTCAACAATTCCCTCGTCTAGCCATCTTACTGGGACCACATTCGTATTGCGCCTTGCACCATCAGTCTGCACTATGGCTGAAAATGGGTTCAAAGATCATCTTAATGAGCTGTATACGAAGGTACTGGGTCGGATCCGAGTTCCTCTGCAGCAGGTCATTGTCCGACAACTCTTCGAGAAATTCGACCGCATTGCTCAGTCGGAATACCATATTTCAGCCATATACAGATCTAAAGTGATTTTGGAGGAACCAAGCACAGCGGCTGGCACAGCGGACACAGCAGACACAGCGGACACAGCAGCAGATACTAGGGCAGACACAGCGGCTGGTGGCACAGCGGACACAGCAGACACAGCAGCAGATACTAGGGCAGACACAGCGGCAGAATGCACATTCAGGTGTGCACAGTGGGCAATGGAATCTTATGAAATCCTTCAATTCTTTCAGGAAGACGTCAACCTCTTATCCTCAATCAGCCACAGCGACTGGGATAGAGGTGTTCTGGAAGATATTGTCAAGCTTCTGAAATTTAAGATGAAGTTTCTAGGGGACTTCAAAGATCTAAAGGATGAATGTCTCAAGCAGCGAGAAACCCCATATCTTCCTGCTCATGGCGAGATCAATTCCTTTGGGAAAGTCGCACTCGCTTTAAAACAAGCCCAAATTGATCTTACGACTAGTCTTAGATCTTTCTATGAAGGGGCGCGTGGAACATTCCAGTATGTCGGCGATCTCAAAGATAACGAGACTATTCCAACAGCTACATTACGGGAACTGATCATACGGGAACGGGTCTCCCAGATAAGATATGAGTACGTAGGGCCGTCTAAGAAGAAGAGGGCAAAGGACAAGACGAGTTTACAGGAAGGCATTAAAAAAAGGATAACGGATGAAATGCAAAAACTCGATGGTAGTCAACACGTTCATTTTCTTGTTTCAGGCTGACTCAACATTTAGGCCGAGCTACTTCTGTGATTGATAATCACAAGAATACATTTAGCAATGGCGTTTTTACTGCTTGGAGACCACGAACAATTGTCGTCATTTTTGATTTAGCGACCAACCTAGTACTTACTGGAGCAACCCAACCTGCATGTGAAAAGTACACATTCTGGGAAACAGTGAGGAAAGAAATAACTCGTTATCGCTGCGGACAAGTCCTCGCAAAAGACATTGATACCTTATGCCAGCTATTCAGCAAACAAGCTTACGACGTCCGTGATAGAGAATCCTCTCAGATCTTTGATTTACGAAGATTTTTCAATAAGGACCACCTGGATCAAGCCAAATTGCCAGAGAAAAGTGATCAAGTCGAGCGAATATATAATGAAGTGGCAAAAAGAAGACCTACCACCGACACCCCATTCTCAAACCTCTTAGAAGAGTCAGAAATAGTTTGTATAGCCTTCGACGGCTTTTCCCTTAAGCCTAGAGCTCCTTGTATTCGATGTCAATGGATGTATTCGAAGTGGATGCATTATGGCTGGCCAGATACGCCGAAAAAGAAAATCGAATGTGTTTGTAATGGAACAGGTATAACAGCTACGCCACCGGAATCATTCTCTCTATGCGCAGAGTCAGTAGCAGCTGCGAAGCTTTGCTTATTACGAACGGGGAAGTTGATTTTGGATGATAATCGTCTATAATGTAGATATAATATGGCTCTCTTGAATTCTGAATAAGAGCATCCGGGCCACCAGGCTACCTGCTTAAGGCGCAGCAGCCTCACATCCAAAATCGCTTATCATTATATCCAAGGCATTATATAGGAACTCCTTACACCAGTGGTGCAGTCGGAAACCCTCAAAGCTGTTCATCCCCTCGCGGAAACACGATCTAATGTAGCTTTTCAAAGTCTTGAAATTGTGACGGTTTAGACCGTGGATCGGACTAGGTTATGTGACCTGTGTTGCCGTGGCTATGTAGCGCGGCGGTCCGTGTGTAAATAGCTGGTCGGAGAGCAGGGCTCTGGCTTTCCCTCCTTAGTTTTTCCTCTTTGTAAGAAACACGCTCCTTTGGTTGAACAGACGCAAGAGTGGGTGATATATCAAGGAGGCCAGAACATGGCTATAGTTGTGATTCGGTGGTATCGGCAAAAAAAAGGTCAGCATGCCCTGGAAACCTGTGTGCCGATACTCGATAGTCGCCATACTCCCAGCAGAAAAGGCCTCTGCAAGGGCGTCACTGGCGCGGTCGCTCATAAAGCATTTACTGTGCCTTACATGGAGATGGGGAACGACAGAGTGGCAGCTCCGTGCAGAAGCAGCCACGTGGCTGCTTGTGGAAACTTCTAGAATAACGCCACACTTCACGTGAGTTTCGCATAATATACAATATAATACAATTAATTTACCGTAACTAGTAAATATGATATTATATAAGCACCTATATACCTCCTCCTACTTTGTCCGGATAAATCCGGTATAAAAGTTGCCTTCCGCTCTATATCTTTAAACTTTAAAGCTATATTCTTTCTTAATAGAAGCTTTATACTACGGTCTCGAAATTTAAAGACAGGCCAATAGTTATAATAAAGCAGGGAGAGACAGCTAAAGGGGCTTTTAATACCATTAATAGGACAATTAATAATATAACTATAACTATAGTATTTTCTTATTATAAACCGAACCCTTTTAGAGAAATAACTAAAGAATAATAGCAAACTAATTATAATTTTATATATTTATATAGTAGAGATTTGAGATCCCTAAACTATAAAATCGTTCCGGTATATAGGGTTTTCCGCTATATAGGAATAGACGTTATATAACGTTATATAATATCTGTCTTTATATAGTAGATAACCCAGTATATTAGAAAATTAGACAAATTTCAATATTTACAAGTTGCTATATAAATAGAACTTGTATAATGAGCCTATTACTAACTTTAAATATAATATTTTTTTTATTATAGTTAGTTTAAAAAGGATATTATAGCGAAAAATTCGTAATTCTTATAATCTTATTAGTTGTTTCCGGTATACCAGTTTTCTGCTATATAGGGACGGATATTATTTATCTTTTTTTAAAGCCTCTAACCCTTAAACTAGTATATTTATAATTAATAAAAGGTTTTTCTTTTTTAAACTATAGATAAATATTTCAAACTTCTATTAACTAATAGTATTACTAGAGTATTTCTATTAATAGCTCGGATATAGCTAGTATTTACTATAATAGTAGCTGGATATTTAATTTATATAAATAATATATTCGGATTATTAGCTCCTATAAACTAATTAAAGTACTAATAGTAGCCTGCTTATAAGGACTTTGGGAAGTTATTATAATCGGATCGAGAGAAGATATTACTATATTAGGTATTCTAATCTGAGCTTGGAGCTCCCTATTTAATAGTATAGCTATTATTAAGCCCGACTCTTTTACTAGAAATCTGGTTTAATATTAAGAGGTATTTTATAAGTAAGGATAAGAGAAATAAAAGAAGGTAAATATATACTAAGATTAAATTAATTTTCGCCCAGATTTTTACTTATATTTATAGCTTAGATAACTATTTTCTTACTATTAACTGGGCCGCTTATAAAGGTTAACTTATAATAAGTATAATACTAACTTGCTTTAAAGCTTCCCTTTAAGTTTATTACTATATAGCTATATATAAGACTATCCGAAATTACCTAAAGAGATTAATTGAAATATATATATATTATATTTCTATTATAACCGGAAGGGGTATTAAGGTCTTTAAGAGAATTATTAGAGATATTATAGGTAAGTATAGGTCCAGAAATAAAGGTAGCTTTATATAGCTAAGTATAAGAAGGTTTATAGTAATTCCCTAAGTAATAGGGAAGTTAGTAATTATTCTTTCGGGAATATTTCGGGAGTTTGAAATACTATAAGAAAAAAGGAATTTCTTTTCTAATACTTATAATAATAAGTAGTTTTCCTAATTTCAGATATAAATGAATTTATATCTAATATAGAAGAGAAAAGAATAAAGAGAATAAAAGAGATATTAATATAAAATTATATATTGAGATATTTATATAAGAAAATTATTTCTTTATTAATGAGAATTATATAATACTTATAATAAGTTTTAATTGAAATGAATTTGAAATAATATTTTTGGAATTTAATAAGTATATATTAGTAGTAGTAAATATAGATTAAAGCTATTAATGAAATATACTTATTATTAAATAGGTAAAAACTAAAAAGCCGATTCTAGAAGCGGTTTTCTAAAATATAGGCTAAAAAGGATATATTATAAATATTTTTCTAGAATAGAGCTTTAATTAGCCTTAAGATATAATATAATATATTACTTTAATAATATTAGATATAATAGATTATTTTAGAAAATAAAATATAAGGTTTTATATTATAATTATAGCTATTAGTAGTATATATTTTAATAATTCTTACTATCCTATTACTATTTTTTTTAATATAATTTACTAGTAATAGCTTAACTTATTTTTATTTATTTTAATAAATAATATATATTATAACTCTTATAATATATTAAAGGCCCCTATATAGGGAATAATTTGGAATACCTTAAAGTAAACCTATTAAACTCCCTTAATATTCGACCTTATACTATTTATATATATAAGATTATAACTATATATAATGTCTCTAATTACTGATTTCTATATCCTGGTTCTTAAGTCCTAACTTATTCGAATAATATTAGAGTTCCTTTATTTTTAATTTATTATATTATACCGCTTCTATTTCTTATTAATATAAGCCTTTTATATATATATTTATAAGAAGAATATAGTACTTTTTTATAGTATTACTTTATCTTATTTCCTTTAGATTAGGAAAGTTAAGGATTGAGGCAGAGAATAGTAGGAGCTATTATAGATACTTGGATAGACTATATAAAATCTAGAAGTATTAGTAAAGGAAATAAGATTTATAGGCTTAACTTAGGAAGTCTTATAATTAAAACGGAGTTTAAAGATATATATATTAAAGGAAAGTAGAGCTTTTAATATATTATTAATAGTATTACTTTATACTATTAGAATAGAATTACTATATTATAAAGAGAAGCTTATTATTATTAATATTTATCTATTTGAGTAACCTTTTCCTATTAGTATTAAAATATTACTAGCTATAACCTCCTTTATAGCCCCCGGGTTACTAGTTACTAGACCGCTTTTAAAGCTTTTAGATTACTAACTATAGAATAGAGTATTAATATAATAGAATTATTATTCCAATAACTAAGGGTTATCTAGTTATTATTCTAGTAAATATAGGCTATAGAACAGGTTATATTATTAGGAGAATAAGTTATACTTGGATATTTACTACTAGTATCTTTAAAGACTAGACCTCTAAATATTTTGAAAGGCCAACTTCTATTATATCCGTTCTAGTAACCGTTTATATTTGAAATATTATACTATAATTCCGGTACTATATTTGGATTATATATATATTTAAATTATATAATTATACTTATATTAAAAGTATTAGACTTATTAACTATATTTATAATAGTTTAATTAGATAAAAGCTTAATAGATATATTACCGAGGGTACTATTAATAGTACTATTAGTATTTAAGGTTCTATTAATAATTCTAAGCTAGTAGGTCTCTTTATAAATTCCTTTAATAGAAATAATATTCGAGAATACTAAATAATTATTAATAGACTTATAATATACCGGAAAATTATACTTATTAATTATAATTATAGTACTATTCTAAGTAGCTAGAGCTAGACTAAGTTAAGTAAAGGAGAATAATATTACTAGTAGTAAGAGTATTATAACTTTAAAGAATTATATATTAACTTAATAGTAATTCTAAGATAGTTAATAAAGAGAAGTAAAAGAACTAAAGAATATGAGATATAGAGGAAAGAGGAAAAATAAGAATAATAGAATATAATACTCGAGATTATAGTAGAAGATATTATATAAGTTATACTATATTAAAAAAAGATCTATTTTAAATATAATATTTGGCTTAAGCCGGAAACTATTTCTTTAGATTCGACTTGAAATAGCTGCCTTATAATAGTAAGTAGAGATAGTTCCCATTTTATAGTAATATAATAATTCTATTTTATAGAACCAGTAATTCTATATTTAATATTTCTTGGAAATATATTAATATAATATCTTAAATATATCTTTATTATCTAGTCTAAGATTTATCTTATCTAATATTAGTCTATAATTATCTCTTAAAGCCTTCCGAAATCCAAAACTATATATTATTTCGTTATAGGCTATTTCTGTCTATATAGCTTCTTATACCAGAGTTTTATTAATATAAGTATTAATTTATTAAGCGGAATTTTTCCCCTTATAAACTATAGATAATAAGGAGCTTGTTTTGCTATATAAAACTGCGGTTTACTCGTCTTATAAAAGTAATTATAATTGTTTTTCCCGAAGACATTTTTATTATAAGAAATAGTAATTTCTTTACTAGCCCAAATCTTTCTTAAAGCTATAATTTTAATTTCTTTATATAATTTACTTGATATTAATTAGATATTTGAGCTATAATTATAATTTGCGAAATATATAGGGCCAAGTATTTTAAATCGGATTTTATAGTAGTTTAATTCTGTAAAACTAAAATTATTCTAATTAGATACCTCCTTTCCTATAAAGCAGGCTTGAGTTCTATATAAATATATAATCTCGCCTCTTTTAATGTTTTTCCGTATTTTAAGTA